TATTGGGTTTTTACCATAAATCTTGATATTTGAGTAAGAAATCGAAAAATGGATGAAACAAGGTGGCGGTTTTGTAAATAGCAAGTTTCAGGTAGTCGGATTTAAGAGTGATTTAAACTGAATCCGTAGCTAAATCCGCCATTAATATGCTGCCAAGCACAGCCTTAAACACCCATATACCCCTTCGCCGATTCTCCACCGTCCCCGCCGCAAACATCAGCCGGAAACCGCCGTCTCTCACCTCCCTCCTCCCTTCTAACCTTCTCCTCCTCCGCCTTCCTGCAGAAAAGCACCCACCCATTCGCCTCAAGGGCCACACAAGCCCCACCCATCGTCCCCACCGCCAAGCAATAAACCAGCTTCGCATACGATCGCCCTAATTCCATCATCTCCATCCCCTGAAACACGTTCACTACTCCCACCACCACCAACCCGTACCCCAGCAGATGATGATACGATTTCCAGTACTTACGATACCTGTGCGTGGTCGCAGGACGGAAAAACATCGCCGCCGCCTGCAAACCCCCCGCCGTCATCACTGCAAACCCTAATCCCCGATGCAGAACATAAACCCTATTCCCCATCGCAACCCCAAACCCAAATCCCACCGATCCGACAGCCACCGCCGAGATCTGAACTGCCGCGTGGATGTAGAACCAGGTCGATCCTGATCCAATGCCCGGCCATTGCCTCAAGTAGCGTGCAGCCATCGCGCCTGCGGGGATGAAGAACCCCCATGTTATTGCGTTGATTGAACCGTGCGCGGATCGGAACCAGGTTGGAAGGGGCTTAGATGAGATGTCTGCGGATGCGGAGAGGAGGTCGATGGTGGTGCGGGAGGCGAGATCGATGGGGGTGGTGGGGTGGACGGTGGGGGAATAGCCTTGGACGTAGAGGCCGCGGTTCCAGATGAGGTTAATGCGGGTGCGGTTGGGGGAAAGGTGGAGGGAGGCGGAGATGCGGACGATGGCGCCGGAGCGGACGGAGGGGGATTGGATGAGAGAGGCGGAGGGGGAGAGGAAGGGGATATCGAGGGGATGGGAGAGGAGAGGGGAGCGTTGGAGTTTGACGGAGGGGTTGAGGAGGAAAGGGAGGAGGAGGAGGGAGGAGGAGGTGGGATCGGGGAAGGAGATTAGGGCACGGGTGCCGGACATGGAGAGGGATTCGGGGTTGATACCGAAGGCGACCCAGCCAGAAGGGGAGATGAAGGTGCCGGTGAAGGAGAGGTGGAGGGTGGAGTTTTGGGGGTGGTAGGTCCAGGAGAAGGAGGAGTCCTGGGTTGGGAGGGTGAGGCATTTCGCGTAACTTTTTGTGTTGGTTTCCGGCGAGCAATGGCCGGAGGAAGACGTGGTGGTGGTGGAGGATAAAACCAGGAGGAGGAGGAGCAGGAGGAGCATGGTGGAGGGAGGGGAATGGAGAGTGTGGTGGACTTTGAGGGATTAAATATATGATGTTGTTAGTGGGTTTGTTTTTAGGTTGGCTTTGAAGCTAAGAAGAGAGGAAATTATTTGGAGTGGGATGAAAGACTTAATTTCCAAGTTTTGAATAATGTAATTATTTATCTTTGGATGCCACTTACTTTGAATAATGTAATTATTTATCTTTGGATGCCACTAACTTCTTATGAATTTACATTCCTAACCCTGCCATCTTATGTATGTATGAAAAGCATATTTTTTTATCTTTTCTCAGATAAAATATTTCGAAGAGAATATTACATGCGGAGTCCAATTTAATGCAAACTTCATCAGAGCAC